AATTGTTAAAGAATAGCTACAAAAACCTACAGCTGACACCATATTTAATAGTAAAAGAGTGAATGGGTTCTCCTTAAGATTGGGAAGAAGTGAAGGATGTCAAACTCATCACTTTTAACACTAAATGTGTAAGTTCCGGACACTGCAATAAGGCAGTATCTCTTTTATAAGAGAGAAAATACACCCAGATTGAAATGGAAGAAATAAAACTGTCCTCATTTGTAGATGGCATGATTACGTATATAAAACAATAACAACAAATCACATGAATTCAGCAAAGTTACAGGGAAAAAAAACCCACACACATGGTCCAATTACATTTTAATTTACTAATAACAAATATATAGAAAGCAAATTTTAAAACAGTACTATTTCCAATTACTTCAAAAATAATATACTTAGGCAAAAATCTCATAAAACATATATAGTATTTATATCCTAAAAATAACCAAATGCTGATAAAGCAATTTAAAGAATTCAGTGAATGGAGAGACATATAATGTGCATGGATTGGAAGACTCAATGTAGTCAAGGTGTCAGTTCTTCCCAAATTGATTCTGTAAGTTCACTGTAATTCCTATGAAAACTGTAAGATATTTAGTATACACAGACTGCCTTGTTTCTAAATTTTATAGAGAAAGGCAAAGACCTGGAACAGTTCAACTTCAAAATTGAAGAATCAATGGAGCCAGCAGGTAGCATGGTGGTTAAGGCGTGGATTCCCCACATGGCCAACCACAGTTTGAGTCCTTGACCCAGCATGCCAGGAGTGTACGCATGCATGCCCAAAATCCTGAGAGGAGAATGGAGGAAAAAGGAATACAGTGTGGCCATTATCCCCGGGGGATGATTTCTCACTTTTTCTGTCTCTGACTCTCTGTGTTTGTCCACCAAAAGCATGCACCTTATAGCAAAAATCTCTCTTAAGAAATAAAAATGAACTATCAAGGGGAGAAACCACTCTATCACATGTTAAGGCTTATTAAATAGCTATAATGGTCAAGATAGTGTTGGCAAAGAGATAAACACACAAAAAGGTCAATGGGGCAGCTAGATAATTCAGAGACTGATATAAATATGCCAAAATATTGTCTTACAAAGATGCTAAAGCAATTTACTACAGGAAAGACAAACTTCAATAAATGGTACTAGAGCAACTGGACATTCAAAGACAAAAAAATGACCCTCAACCTAAACATCACCTATTATTTTTTAAAATATCATTTTAAAAGATCAAAGAATTAAATGAAAAACTATAAAACTTTTAGAAAAACATAATAAATGAGTAAAAGTCTCCAGGACTAGGTCTAAGTGAAGAGTACAGACTTGGCACACTGAACACACAATCTATAAAAGGAAAATATGATAAACTGGAACAGGAAAATGGTATATATATTTTACTCTTTAAGTGTTTGTGTTTTTTGGCTAGATATGAGGTTGAATTAAAAACTAAAATAAAATGAGGGACCAGCAGTTGGTGTAATGGCTATGTTGCTGGACTCCCAAGTAGTCAATTGCGGTTTGAGTCCAGAACCCCATGGCTTAAACTCATGCTGGGTGCATATGTGTGCGTGCCCAAGATCCTGAGAGGAGAATGGAGAAGGGATTGCGGCATGGCCATCCCCCCTGGGGGGTGATTTCTTATTTTCTGTTTCTCTGTCTGTCTCTGTCTTTCTGGTGAGTACATGTGCCCTATAGCAAAAACCTCTCCAAAAGAAAAATAATAAATAAAATGGTAAATTAGGCTTCATCAAAACTGAAACTTACTTCGTGAAAGACAATATAAAGAAAATGAAAAGACAAGTTATATATTGAGTGAAAAGATTTGCAAATAATGTATTTGACAAAGAACATTTGTATCAAAAAAAGAACATTTGTATCTAAAAAATATAAATTTTCAAAACTCAACAGTAAAAAAAATAAAAATAAAAACAAGCAATCTATAAAACATGCAAGACACAGAAATGGGCATTTCACTGAAGGGGATATAGCAATAACAAGCACATGAAAAATATTTTACCATCTTTAGCCATTAGGGAAGTGTAAACTGAAACCACAATGAGATATCACTACATGCCTATCAAAATGACAAAAAGTACATATACTGGCCATACCAAATGTTGTTGAGAATGCAGAGAAGCTAAATCACTCATACTTTGCTGGAAAAAAAAATGCAAAACTGTGTGACCACTCTAGAAAGCCTATGTCTTTTCCTCTGAAATCTAAACATGCACTTACCACATATAATCCAGCAACTGTTCTCCTGGTCATTTATCCCAGAAAAATTAAAACTTATGTTTACACAAAAAAAAACTATACACAAATGTTTATAGCAGCTTATTTACAATGGTTAAAAACTGGAAACAGCTCCCAAATCCTTCATATCCTTCAATAGATAAATCGCTCAACAAGTTGTAGTATATCTATACCATAAAATCCTACTCAGCAATGAACAGGAATGAATTGGGCCAGACAGGTAGCATAGGAGTTAAAACAGCTAGATTTCACATGGCTGAGTCCACAGTTCAAGTCCAGACCTGGCAGCTTAGGCAATAGACCAGGTGCATGTGCGTGCATGACCAAATGAAGAAGGGATTGCAGCATGGTTGTTCCCACTGTGGGGTGATTAATCACTTTCCCTCTTTCTCTCTGTCTCTCTCTGAAGAGTGTACATGCCCTATAGCAAAAACTAAAAAAAAAAAAGAATGGATTATTGATACATGCAACAAAACTTGGGTGAACCTCAAGGAAATTATTCTGAGCCAAAAAAAAAAAGAAAAAAAGGGCTAATCCTCAAAGTTTGCACACTGCATTCCATTTGTAAAGCATCCTCTAAATGACAAAATTACAGAGATGGAGAGCAGGAATCACGACTTGGAAGGAAAGACTAGGGACTTAGGCAGTGCAGAAGGGAGGTGGCTTGTCACTATGAAAAGGTATTACAAAGAATCCTGTATCTTCACTGTGATATTGGTCACATGAATCTACATACCTAATAAAATTGTGTACAACTAAGTGTACACATATGTGCACACACACATAAATGAACACATGTACAAGTGTTAGAATATGAATAAGGTTGTTGGATTGTGTCCATGTAAATTTGTGATGCTGTACAATAGTTTTATGTAGGATATTACCATTGGCTCCAGCCTCGGTGGCACAGTCCATAGGTACTAGACTGCAGTGCTGGAGGCCACTTGGGCAAAGAAGGGTTCAGATCTCCAGACTGGCTTAAAAACAAGCCATATCTGTGTCCTGAAAAGATGGAGAGCTGAAGGAAGGACTGCACCTCTCTTTCCTGCTCTCTTTCCCCTTATGTGTGCACACACATGCTCTCATTTAAGAAAAAAAAAAAGCTGTTACCATTGGGAGAAGGTTATGTGGGATCTCTACAAATTTGTACAACTACATGTAAATGTATAATTATTTCAAAATAAAAAATTTTCAGAAAGGATGATCCATTATAGTACCAAGAGCTACAATCATGATCATAACTTGATTTAGTAATTTTAGTTCAAGGTTCAGTATTCATTTATCTACTCAACACACATATAAGGCACTGTGGTATATGACAAAGACTCAGTGGTGAAAAAGGTAGGCATCCTCTGTGAACTTTCCGACCAGGAAATGTAAACACAGCTCATTGTATGAAGAGGATCATTCCATGTTCAGCTAGATGGATGAGAACTAAAACCAACTTAAATTCCTAACAATTACAGAGAGGTGTAGTAATTTCTGGATAACTATATGCTCATTAAAATGATTATGAATACTATTTAACAGAATGGAAAAAAAGCATATATCATTAAGGGGAACACTTCATATATTCATTAGTGTTATGTAATTAATGACAACTTATTTATATGAATAAACTTTTATTGAATTTTAGATAATTAGAAAGAATAAAGAAATGCAAGATAAATGCTCTCTAAACAGCATCTGATAGTATCTTTTCTGTGTCATAGTATTGTCACTTTTCTTTATAAAAAGTATAGACATTCATATATTTAAATTTTTACAAAGTCAAGAACCATCATATGGAAAAATAAGTAATCCTAAAGTAAATTCACTTCTTAACAATATTGAAATGGCTGTAATGGTTAGATTCTGAGCATGGACCTCTTGGAAAAACAGCGTATGCAGCAATTACTGGTTTTCATTCATTAAAAAACGGGAGAAACGTCAGGAGGCCACTTTTTGTGAAGACTACACTTGCAGGACAAGCAGGCAAAAAGCACAGTAGGAAGAGGGAATGAGAGAAACATCAGAGGAAGAAAAGAATATCGAATCATGGGGTCAGGATATCATAAATAATTTAGGGAACAAATCTTGGGAAAAATCATTTGTGGGCTCCTTAAAATGTAATTAAGGCGATATAGTCACCAGTCAGTATGGCCAGAGCTACATAGCACAAAATTGAGTGGGGAGTTGGTAAATTAATCTGGTGAATGCAAGGCCAGCCAAGGCAGATAATCACAAAAGGAGTCTCTCTACAATGGTGTAAAATTCATCAGGCAAAACTGCAACCTGAGCAGTCACAGACATGGGGTAGACCCTCTCAGGAGCCCACCTGAAGACCACTGTTGTGTCAGTCTTATCTCTTTTGCAAAAGAATTATTTTAGAAAACAAAAACAACTCCTGCCCTTGTGAGTAACCTCTACTTGTCAAATAAGGAGAAAGCTATCTACCTCTGTACAAAAGGCATTAAGTTCCCTCATTAAGAGTAACCTAGTATGGCAGCAAGGGAGGGAGGAGTCCCTTCGAAGTCCCACAGAGCCTGGCTTGTGACCTGCTTGCTCTCCTGCTGGGCTCACTAAGCAATCACGGGACAAGGTGTTAAACAGCACTCTATCCTTTTCTAGCCCAATGCCCCTTAGATACTAAAAATTAAAAAAAAAAAAAAAAAAAAAACTTTAAAAAAAATGTTTTTCTAGGAAATAAAAAACAGTAACTGCCATGGACCTGTAACAGATCCTAGAATAATGTAGACAGGTAAGAATCTGTCAATATAGCAATATTCCAAATATGAAATGCACGGTTTAGGAAGAAACAGGTAAATAAATAAATATGGGGGGGCTTCTCAAGGAAATTTCCTTTGTTTCCCCCCATTTCTTACTAAATTTTGTGTAAAAACTTTTAATTCTATGATAAAAGAGTCAGCCCTGCTGGGAGCAGTATTAGCCATTTATGCCAATGAGCCCTCTACATAATGAGGGGAGGGGAGGGGAGGAGTGGAACAAATCACAGGGTTGCTTGTTATTTTTTTTTAAAGACACCTGTATTTTTAAATAATTTCAGTATGTAAACTTTATCTGGCACTGTAGTTTCTTGAAAAATTATTATTAGGCATAAATTAAAGAACAAGCCCATCTGGACTGCAGTTTGGGTTTTAAGTGCTATTCTACTCTTTTATCTTTTTACTTGGCTTGGCACATCTTTGAGCTCCAGCTTTTAAAAACAGAATCCCGAGACATCTGCAGTGGAGAAACAAGGCTTCTGATGGAGCATCCCAGTCCATTTTACACATCTTAGTGGCCACTTACAGCATAGCCTTCTTGTGCTTTTTACTACTACCACACGGAGAGTGTTTCTTTCTCAGCAGTCACCATCCCAACCCCACTTGTATGGGGGATTCCGTTTACTCTTCTCAACGCATTTCCTCATGTCCTATACCAGAGATCCGGCCCGACTCTGGGCTGGCACCATGACAGGGACCGCACCGATTCGCTCCAGTGTGGCTTGACTGATGGTGTAGGAGTGTGTGTGCTGAGGCCGAGGCTTCCTG